TTACCTAAGATTAAAGGAGAGAATCTTAAAGCAGCAAGAGAAAAGGAAAAGAGTCACCTACAAAGGAGTTCCTATAAGACTATCAGCTAATTTCTCAAAAGAAACCTTGCAGGCAAGAAGGGGCTGGAAAGAAGTATTTGAAATTATGAAAGGCAAGGCCCTCGATCCAAGATGACTCTATCCAGCAAAGCTATCATTTAGAATGGAAGGGAAGATAAAGTGCTTCCCTGTTAAGGTCAAGTTCAAGGAGTTCATCATCACCAAGCTCTTATTACATGAAATGTTAAAGGAACTTATCTAAGAAAAAGATCAAAACTATGAACAGTAAAATGACAACAAACTCACAACTATCAACAAACAAACCTAAAAAAAAACAAACAAACTAAGCAAACAACTAGAACAGGAACAGAATCACAGAAATGGAGATCACATGGAGGGTTATCAGCAGGGAGGGGGAGTGGGGCAAATGGGGGAAAATGTACAGGGAGTAAGAAGCATAAATTGTGGGTACAAAATACACACAGAGAGGTTAAGAATAGTATGGGAAATGGAGAAGCCAAAGACCTTACATGTACGACCCATGGACATGAATTAAGGTGGGGGAATGCTGGTGGGAGACTGGGTACAGGGTGAAATAAAATAAAGGGGAGAAAAAATGGGACAACTGTAATATCATAGTCAATAAAATATATTAAAAATCATTTGGAGATTTTGAAAAAAGTAAAAATAATAATAAAATAAAAAATATTGTTTAGAAAAAAAGTGATGAAAAGCAAGAACCTCCATCCAAGATTACTCTATCCAGCAAAGCTATCATTTAGAATGGAAGGACAGACAAAGAGCTTCCCAGACAAGAAAATGCTAAAGGAGTTAAGTAATACTCTCACCACCAAACCAGTATTACATGAAATGTTAAAAGGTCTTCTTTAAAAAGAAGATATGAATAAAATGGCAATAAATACATATGTATCAACAACTGAATCTAAAAATCAAAATAAACAAACAAGGAGAACAAAAACAAACTCATAGATACATAGAACATTTTGACAGTTGCCAGAAAGGAGGGGAGTTGTGGGCATGGGTGAAAAATGCGAAGGGATTAAGAAGTACAAAGCGGCAGTAACAGAATAGTCATGGGGATGTCAAGTACAGCACAGGGAATATAGTTAATAATACTGTAATAACTGTATGATATCAGATGGGTAAAAGATTTATTGGGATAATCACTTAGTAAGTTATATGATGTGTAACCACTGGGGTGGTGTACACCTAAAACTAACATAATATTGTACGTCAACTGTAATTGAAAAATAAAAAATGATTTAAGATTTTAAAAATTAATCACATATATCCATGACATTACCTACCAATCCTAATCCTAGGTATTTACCCAAGAGAAATGAGAAGGTATTTGCAAGTTCCGGCCAAGATGGAGGTGTAGGTAGAAATCCTTCACTTCCTTGCACAACCAAAAGGAGGATAACAACCAATCTAAAATCAATAAACCACCAAATAATCAAACTTTATAGAACTCCAACAACCAAGGAATTAAAGAAAACAGAACAACCAGACTGGTGTGCCGAGACAAAGAAATATGGCCCAAATGAAAGAATAGGGCAAAACTTCAGAAAGACAGCTAAGCGATGAGGAGATAGCCAACCTACCTGATGGAGGATGTAAAGCCCTGGTAATCCAAATGCTCACAGAACTGATTGAGGTTGGTTAAAAAATGAAGGGGAAAAAAAAAACAAAAACAAATGAAAGACACCCAAAAATGAAATAAAGCAAAATATTTAGGGAACCAACAGTGACAGGAAGGAAACCAGGACTCAAAGCAATGATTTGGAACAAAAGGGAAAAATAAATATCCAACCAGAACAGAATGAAGAAACAAGAATTAAAAAAAGTGAAGAGGTACTTACAAACTTTTGGGACAGCCTGAAACATTCCAATATCTGAATTATAGGGGTGCCAGAAGGAGAACAGCAGCAAGAAATTGAAAACTTAATTGAACAAATAATGAAGGAAAACTTCCCCAATCTGGCAAAGCAAAGAGACTTCCAGGAAGTCCAGGAAGCCCAGAGAGTCCCAAAGAAGTTGGACCCAAAGAGGAACACACCAAGGCACATCATCATTAAGTTATTCAAGATTAAAGATAAGGAGAGAATCCTAAAAGCAGCAAGAGAAAAGGATACAGTAACCTACAAAGGAGTTTCCATTAGACTATCAGGTGATTTCTCAAAACAAACCTTGCAGGCGAGAAGGGGCTGGAAAGTATCTGAAGTCATGAAAGGCAAGGACCTACATCCAAGATTAAACTATCCAGCAGAGCTTTCATTTAGAATGGAAGGGCAGATAAAGTGCTTCCCAGATAAGGTCAAGTTAAAGGAGTTCATCATCACCAAGCTCTTATTATATGAAATGTTAAAGGGACTTATCTAAGAAAAAAGATAAAAAATATGAACAATAAAATGACAACAAACTCACAACTATCAACAAATGAACCTAAAAGAAAAGAAAAACAATGAAAACAAAAACTAAGCAAACAACTAGAACAGGAACAGAATCAGAGAAATGGACATCACATGGAGGGAGTTCAGTGGGGCGGGGGAAGGGAAGAATGGAGGGAAAAGGTACAGGGAAGAAGAAGCATAATTAGTAGGCATAAAAAGGATGGGGAGAGATAAAAATGGTACAGGAAACAGAGAACTCAGAGAACTTGTATGCACAACCCATGGACATGAACTGAGGGGGGACGGGGAATGCTGGAGGGTTAGGGGGGCAGGATGGAAAGGGGATAGAGGGGGGGAAATTGGCAAAACTGTAATAGCATAATCAATAAAAATACTTTTAAAAAAGAGAATGTAGTTGCACACAAAGGCCAATTCAAGAATGCAGTTTTATACAAAATAGCTAAAAACTAAACCGTTCAAGTATCCATTAATAGGCAAATTGAGAACCAAGCTGGCATATTCATTCAATGGAATACTACTCGGCCATAAAAAAGATCAGATTACTGACACATGCAACAGTATAAATTTCAAAAACATAATATTAAGTGAAAGAACTTTTACACAAAAATCATGTTAAGACACCTTTTCTATAAATCTATAGGCTAGGTGACACTATGGCATAAAAATTTAGAAGAGTGGTTATTTTGGCAAAAGTGGGATAGGAATTGACCAGGAAGGAGCAGGAGGGAGCTTCCTGGGATGATGGTAGTATCTTGTTAGGGGTGTGGGTTCCATAAGTGTACAATTTGTTAAAAACTGAGCAACAGTACCCTTAAGATTTGTGCATTCACTATATGTAAAATTTATATCATAAGAAGTCTGTAAAAATATTGAACTGCAGTTCATTATATGCATGCTAAATATTTAAGGCACATATACAGATGTCTTCAGGGATAGATAAAGGAATGGATATGTAAGAAAATCAAATATAGGCAAGTATTAATTGTAGAAACAAAGTAGTAGCTATAAAAGTATTTACTGTATGATTCTTTCAATGTTCTTGTATGCTTGAAAATGTACATAATAAAATACCAGGGCAGGGGGACTAAAAAAAGAGAAATCAAAGAAGGAAGAGGCAGCAGAGAATGCTAAAGAGGAAGCATCAGTAAAGTAGAAAAAAAATGAGCCAGGTTTGGTTTCCCAAAAGCCAGTTAGAAAAGCGACTTTAGAGGAGGGGATGGCAATTGTGTAGTCTGAAAATCCAAGTAATATTAAACCAGGCCCTTTGGATTTGGCTATTAAGAGGAGGTAATTGGAGGAGGGAAGTCACACTAAAGTGGAGGGAGAGAAAACTGTTGGTGAGGAAGCAGAGATAGTAAATGGAAAGAACTCCTCAGAAATATGGCTGTGGAGGAGGCCAAAGAGACCAGCAACAGCTGAGGAATGTGGGGTCAAGATGATAGACAAAACTGGAGCATGTTCATGTGTGGATGGAAATGAGCCAGCAGAGGATCAGGGGACACAGTAGGTAGAACTGTGAGAATATAATTTAGTTCAAATGAGGTTATGCTAGATTAGGTTGGCCCTTAATCCAATGACCAGTGTCCTCACAAGAAAAGGACGAAGTAAGAAGAGAAATTTGGACAGAAAGAGACACAGAGAGGTGGCCATGTGAGAGTGGAGACAGAAATCACAGTGATGCATCTGCAAGTTAAAAAGGGATCAGTCACATGGACCTAATCCCACATGACTGGTGTCCTTATAAAAAGGGGAAATTTGGGCACAGGCACAGACACTCACAGAGAGAACATGTGAAGAGACACAGAGAGGTGGCCATCTGAGAGTGGAGAGAGAAATCGCAGTGACGCATCTGCAAGCCAAGGACACCAAGCATTGCCAGCCACCACCAGAAACTGGGAAAAAGAAAGGCAGGGTTCTCCCCTAGAGAGAGCGAGCTTAGCTGACACCTAGGCTTCAGACTTTTAGCCTCCAGAGCTATGAGACTAGATTTGTTATTTTAAACCACCCACTTTGTCGTACTTTGCCATGGCAGCCCTGAGAAAGTAATACAGAGGAGATTAACAATGAAGAGGCATGGGTAATAAGAACAGGGGTGATGTCCTTAACAAGGTGATCTGGAACCATTTCCAAGGTACCAAGGGAGGGGCTGGCCTTTGATAGTATTAGGGCCACCCTCTTCCACTGAAATAAGTATAGCATCTTTCAGGGCAGATCTAAATAAGTAAGGGTTTACCCAGAAGCTTCAGACAATCTAGAACGCTTCAAACAGCCCTTATAATAGATTATGTTTCCTTTTAACTAACACATAATACACAAGCCTACATATTAGAGTTACTAGTCTTCCTCTAAACATACAAGAACCAACCAATGAATCTTAAACACAGCAATTCTGTGCCTTCCAAAAGGAGTTTGAGAACCAAGGGGCAAGTCTTACCAACAGAAATGGAACCAGTCAGCCAATGTTCAAAATGAAACAAAACAACTAGATGAAAAAGCCTGGGAATCCAAAATCGGGAAACCCCTTACCTTGAGCTGCTGCTGGAGTTCACTGTTCAGCCGGGCCAGCACCGCATTTGCCTCTTTATTTTTGCGGATAGCGGTCTGAATAGCCTTCTTTTGTTTGGAAGATTGTCTACAAAAAGCACAAAAAGTTCAGTCAAATAGAACTTAGAGGACTCTTGGACTCTTGTCAGAACAATCTGATTCATGACAAGTGCTAAACTAACAAGGGGCTAAATGTCACAGGGCTCCAAAAATAAAATCATATATTCACAAGCAGGCAGGCAGGCAGGCAGGCAGGCAGGCACACACCAAATTAAACAAGTCTGTCAGAATGAATTATTTACACCTAAAGTACCCATTTTATAACTTGAAGAAAAGCTGTGAATAGGGCCTTTTCAAATACTTTGTGTTCCATTTATTCCAAGATATTTTAATAATTATTTCTTCTGGACAAACCATATTAAAAACCGGAATGTCCTTTTTGTGTAGGCTTTAATGGGATTTAAAAGACCTGCGTGTGGCCATTGTGGACAGCTCTGAAGGTAAAACAAAAACATCCTCTTTAGCAAAGATCCTACATTAATTTAAGCAGCCTACGTAACTCTCCTTTATTTCTTTATTATTAGGGATAAGCGCCTGAGTGCAAGTGAACATGTGCATACGCATACACCAGCAGATATAGTTATACCACTTGAGAAATGCACAGAAACGTTTCAATACCCGTATTCCCAAATTAAGTCAATAGTAAATTCATAGAACAGGTATAAATAGGCTGACCATATGTCCCACTTTGCCCATTACAGTCTCTACTTACACTGCTTGTCTGGCCCTAATTATTCTTAGCACTCTCTTTCTCCCTCGAAACTGTCCACAGTTGGAATAATAAATCAACATGGTTGTATAACCTACAACTTCATAGCCCACAGCAAGAAAACACTAAATTCTCAGAGTGAAATGGCAATTTAAGTTCCCTTAGAAAAACAAACATATTTGTAATCACTGAGAGATGAGTTCTAGTCCAGAGCAACTAAACTGGAATGCATTGTGACCACTGTAGCAATCTGATTAATATTCACTGAGAATATTCTCTATGCCAGTCATTCTGCGATTCTCTAGGAAGCATACATACTCTGTTCCCCAACAAATTTGAAGATTATTTTTTCTTTTTTTTCACACAAGGATGTTAGCTATTTGATTAATGAATTAACTTTTTCTAGTGTTTCCTACTGATTCTCAAGTCAAAAACCTCTGCTTTGGCTCATCCAGTCTTACTCTTTCTTGAATGAAAAATGCTAACTCTTCTATGACACCTTCATGGGTCCTCTGAGTTGAAAATAAACTTCTTTCTCTTGCATTTCAGTCTTTTTTTTTAATTGTTCAATTACAGTTGTTCCCATTTTCCCCCATTACTCTCCCCTGCCCTACCCACCCCTCACCTCCCACCCTCAATCCTTCCCCCATTTGTCCTTGTCCACGGGTCCTTTACACATGTTCCTTGATGACCTTTCCCCTGCTTCCCCCCATTATCTCCCTCCCCCCTCCCCTCTGGTTACTATCAGTTTGTTCCTTATTTCCATGTCTCTGGTTTTATTTTGCTCGCTTGTTTGTTTTGTTTACTGGAAAATTTTCACCCTTATATACAGGAAAGGGCCTTCAAAATCTACTTTTTTAAATACATAGACCAGATGGTTTCAGGACAAATGGAGAAGACACATTTCTCTATTCCTTCCAAGAAGTAATACAGTTAAACTCTGGATATAATGCATGAAACATAAGATGACTCCAAAAAGTTGAATGGAGAAGGTAAACTACCTAGGGAACTCAGTACCCAGGGAAACATGTAGCAGGGAATTCCCTAGGTGTGATTTTTTGCTGCATAGGTCCCAGACTGGATAGTGAAGATGTTGGCAATCCATAAATGTCAATGAGGGTGAATCAAAAATAACGCCCCCCCCCCGCAATCCTGCTCTCTCTCTCTAATCAAAGAACTTGGAAAAGGGCAGCTTAGCAACACAGAAATCAGACACAATCTCCCCCCTGATTATAGATATAAAATCTTTAACCAAATATTAGAAAACAGAATTCAGCAGTATGTAAAAAGAATTATATACCATGACCAAAGGGAATTTATTCCAAGGATGAAAGATTGATTCAATATTCAAAAATCAATCAATGTAATCCACCATCCTAATAGGTGAAAGAACAAACATCACATGACCATATAAATTGATGTAGTAAAATCATATGATAAAACTCAACACCTATTCATGATAAAAAAAAAAACTATGAATAGAGGTGAACCTCCTCAACTTCATAAAGAAGTTCTACAAAAAAACTACAGTAATGTCATACTTAATGAAAATCTGAATGTCCTCCCCACAAAGATTAGGAAGAAGACAAGAATTTCTACACACATCACTATTTTCAATATAATGCTGAAGTCTTAGCCAGCACAATCATGCAAGAAAAGGAAATAAAGGGCACACATCTTCAAAAGAAATGAACTTGTCTATATTTGCAGATGACATGATGGTCTATGTAGAAAATCCCAAGGAATCTACAAAATCTCCTAGAACTAGTAAGTGATTTCAGCATGAATGAAAGTGAGTTTACAGGATAGAAGATTAGCATACAAAAATTTAAAGTATTTCAATATATTAACAATGAACACTTGAAAATCAAAATAAAAATATATAATATCATGTACAAAGACTCAAACTGAAATCCTTAGATATAGCAAAACATGTACAGAACTTACATGCTGAATACTATGCAACACTGAAAAAAAGAAATAGAGTAAGACCTAAATAAGTGGAGAAACAGATCATGTTCCTGGATTGGAAGACTCAACATAGTGAAGACATCAACTTTCACCAAATTGTATTTAGAATACATGAAGAACTCTCAAACTCAACAGTAAAAAGAACAATTCAATCAGAAAATAGGCAATGGGCAGGAAGAGACATATCACCCAAGAAGATATATGATGGCAAATACACACATGATAAGATGTTCAACATCACTAGCCATTAGGAAAATGCTAATTAAGACCATGATGGAATAGCACTACACACCTACTAGAACAGCTAAAACAAAAAAATTGTGACAATACCAAATGCTGGTGAGTATGTGGAGGAACTGAATCTCTTAAACACTGTTGGTGGGAAGATAAAATGGTACAGCCATTTTGGAAAACAACTTGGCAGTTTCTTTAAAAAACAAAGCTAGACGTAGCACACAACCTAACAATCACACTCCTGAACATTTATCCCGAAGAAATGAAAACTTATGTACACACAAGAACCTGTACACAGAAGCTCACAGCAGCTTTATTTGTAATACTCAACCAACTAGACACAACCAAAATGTCTCTCAACAGGTGAATGACTAAACAGACTGTGGTATATCTATGCCATAGAATACTGCTTAGCAGTACTAATTGAGATACATATAACGACTTGAATGGATGTCAAGGGTATTATGCCAAGTGCAAAAAGACACATACTGTATGATTGTATTTATATAGCATTATCAAAATGACAAAACTATAGAAATAGAAAACAGGCTAGTGGTTGCCAGGGGCAAGAAATGGCCAAGAAGAGAGAGTAGGTGTAACTCCTGTATCTTAATTACAGTGCTGGTTAAACAAGACTCTACACATGTGACAAAATAGCAATGAACTACTGTTGACCCTTGAATAACACAGGTTTGAACTGCACAAGCCCATTTATATGCAGATTTTTTTCAATAAATACCTGTACTGTTTTCCATCCATGGTTGGGAGTCCACAGATTTGAAAGACTGAGTGGATGCACTGACTGACCAATTTTCTATAGGGCACTTGGACATCCGTGGATTTTGATATCTGTGGGGGGCAGTGTGAGGGTACTGGAACCAATCCTCTGTAGACACCAAGTTATGGGATAGTAAAAATTTGTAAATGGAATTTTGACTTCATGGGGTGTTGATGACCCTAAACCCCATGTTGTTCAAGCGTCAACTGTATACACATGCACTGTCCTAATGCCCATTTTCTGGTTTTGATGATATACCACATTGAGAACATCATGTAGGCATGCAGACAATGCCACACTGGCTGCTGGACAAGCCCTTAAGTGGTACAGGACACCTCCTGGCATTAAAGAGATGAGCAGAATCCATGGAGGCTGGCATAAGTTTAGTCATAGTGCTGTCACTCAACATCACATATCTCCAAACTGCTCAAACCATTCTATTTTCCAAAGTCCATGCTAAGCAGATACATGAGATGTGGGGGAAAACCAATTAAGCCAAATGATTTTAAAGAAAAACTCCACTTTTGACCTTAAGGGCAGATATTAATGATTACACAATCTGAGATCTGTTTATGATATGACTTGTAACTTGGACTCAGTTCCTTTGCCCTAAATAGAGTAGGCAATGATGATATGTAAAGGAGAATTTCTTTCTTATAATAGGCCAGTTCTGATGTTCATTTCCCAAAGAGCTGACGAGGATTTTGCAACTAATCTATTTTTTAGCCTTTCTTAACGAATGTTCTGTTACAGAATTAAGAAAATGATTTGTGACTTTTCTCAATTTTCCCAAAGAGGATACATAGTAAGGACCAATGTAGATGAATATGAGGTCTACTTACTATAGACAATGGATGTCTAAGGGCAACAGAGTTTAACTCTTTCTCAGAACCCTGACTGAGAAAGGACCACATATAGACTAACCACCATGTGCCTGGCTGTCTCTTCTCCTTGAGACTTAAAAAATTACGAATGCTAAGTCACTTCTTATCACTCCAAAATAAACTGGTCTGGGAACCAAAATTGGTTGCATGAAGTCCCCTGACCCCAAAGCTTAACTCCCTGCCATTTATAGCACTATTTGTGTTGCTCGTCGGTTATAGTCGGTTATAGGGGCTCGTCGGTGCCCCTCAGCCTGACACCACATGGTTACCTAACCAACGAGAGAGTATCATGGTAAGGGACAGTCACTGAACAAGCAGATAAAACATTTCCTTTTAAGAAATGGTGCTGGGACAACTGAATGTCCACATGCAAAAGAATAAAGTTGGACCCCTTCCTCATTCTATACACAAAAATGACTTCAAAGTTGATCATAGGCTTCAGTCTAAAACCTGAAACTGTAAAACTTTTAGATGCAAACACAGGAACAAATCTTCATGAACGTGGGTTAGGCAATGGTTTCCTAGATGTGATACCAAAAGCACAAGTGACAAGAGAAAAAAATGGAAAAATTGGACTTCATCAAAATTTAAAACCTTTGTGCTGCAAACAATACCATCAAGAAAGTAAAAAGATAATCCACAGAACTGGAGAAAATATTTGCAAATTAGATACCTGATAAGGTACTTATATTCAGAATATATAAAGAATTCATAACTCAAACATAATGATAAATAATCCAATGTAAGAATGGGAAAAGAACCTGAGTAGACATTTCTTCAAGTAAGATAAATGGCCAATAAACACATGAAAAAAATGCTGGACATAATTAGTCATTAGGAAAATGCAATGAAAACCACAAAGATACCACTTCAGATCCACTAGGATGGCTATAATTTAAAAAAAAAAACAAAAAACAAAAAAAACCATAATAACGAGCATTGGCAAAGAAGAGAAGAAACTAGAATGCTCATACATTACTGGCAGGATTGTACATTGCTGCAGCCATTGTGGAACACAGTTTGGCTATTCCTCAAACTGTAAAACACAGACTTACTATAAGAACCAGCAAATCTACCCCTAGGTATATGCTCAAGACAAATGAGAACATAAGTCCCCATAAAAACTTGTAAACAAATAGTATAGCAGCATTATTCTTAATAGCTGAAAAATAAAAATAACCCAAATGGCCATAAACTAATGGACGGGTAGATTAATAAAATGTGGTCTATCAATACAATGGGAAATTATTCAGCAATAAAAAAGAATTAAGTTCTGATTCATGGTGCTACAACATGGATGAACCCTGAAGATATTATGCTAAATAAAAGAAGCTAGTCACAAAAGACTACATGTATGATTCCATTCACATAAAATGCCCAGAACAGGGAAATCTATAAAGACAAAAAGTAGATTAGTAGCTGTGTGGGGCTTAGGAGAGGGGAGAATGGAAAGTGACTGCTAATGGACACAGAATTTCTTTGGGGGGTGATGAAAATGTTCAAAAATTAGATCATAGTGATGGCTGCACGACTTTGTAAATATATTAAAAACCACTAAATTGTACACTGTAAAGGGTGAATTGTATGCTATGTGAATTATATCTCCATAACATTGTTTAAAAAACAAAAAATACAGACAAGAAAATGAAAAAGCTCTCTTGGTGAACACTCCAAACTGCCTTGCCAATCCACTCTGGAGGATGTTGTAGCCGACACTGACTGACGATCATCAATGCGAAGCAGAGATTCAAGTGGGAAGCTGGAGAATTACATGGAAGAAAGTTTAGCCATGTTTGTCCCTGATAGAGATCCATGCCCTACGCTTGGGGGTGGCTGGAAGATGAAAGCTCTCAGTGACCTATATAGACAAAACATACTTCCTTTAAGCACTGACGGCAGCAGGGCACTATCCATTTGGAAAAACAAAAACCAAAACCATCCTCTGAAAAAGAATGGTACACAGATTTAGAATGGGGCTTTGGCTTCAAAGGCAAGTTACACCCACAAAACCTGTTGCTTTACTTAGTTACAAAAATAGTCATGGGGATGTAAAGTGCAGCACAGAGAACAGTCAATAATATTGTAATAACTATATATGGTGCCAGGTAGGTACTGAAATATGGGGAGGAGGGAACACTTTATAAAGTGTATGATTGACCACTATGCTGTATACCTGAAACTAGTACAAAATGATGTGCAATGCAAACTCTAATTGAAAAATTAAAAAAAGAAAACACCTGTTGCTTTTCTTTCCATAACAATGAAAGAAAATCCACAGCAGTTGCTAAGACCTGCAAGGTCTCTAGACCAGTTTCATGATGGATCTTGAGCTTTGACATTAGTGACCAGTAGGGCTCACTTGAAGTCATACACAGCAACAGGTGTCTGCCCTCAACGCCTTGCTCAATGCCACAACAGAGAAACTGAGGCAAGTGCTAGCTCTTCTTAAGCCAAAGCCTTTGAAAAAGGATTATTTCTTCAAAGCATTGTTCTCTCGGTCCCCACCTACCCTCCAATGTCTGTTAAAGCTGGCTATGGAGACACTGCAGTTGATGATTCTGTGCTGAGATGATCAACAACAGAAAGTTTATGGGGATTAAAAAGATCACGGGGATGTAATGTACAGATTAGGGAAAAGAGTCAATAACATCATAATAAACTATGCACAGTGAAAGATGGTTACTAGACTTACTTATAAGAAATATAAATGTTGAATCACTGTGTTGTACATCTGAAAGTAATATAATACTGTATGTCAATTGTAATTAAAAATAAATTTAAAAATTTTTTAAAAAGAAATCATATCCCACATCTACTGAAAGTTGGGTATGAGGGTCATGAAGCTAAAGCCATTTTCCATGGGAAAACATAAGATAAGACAGGCAAAGAGGGAAAGTTGACAGTTAGATCACTCTTCTTCATAGGAAAATGTGACCCAGCACACGGAGTGGAAGCAGAGGGAGGAAGGGAAAGAAATCAAATCAAATTGAAATACACCATGGTCTTGTCTCCACTTGCCCCTTGGGTCAGGATAGGACCTATGGCTTAGAAGCCTGTTTCTGTGACTGGAAAATGGTAATCCCATCACAGACATGAGTAAGGTAAGACTGCATCCATAAAACCATACCTCTTTATGGTATGAGTATAAATGTAAACATACCTACATGTACATATATATAAAGATTTAAAGGAAGTCTCTGATGCTGCTCTCACTCATCTGTTCTACTTACTTTTGGGCTGTTGGATGGGGTTTCGCAGTTGCTGCAGACGCTGGCCCACCAGCAGTGGCAGAAGGCTCTTGATTTTCTGCAGCTTGATTTTCAGGTCGTAATTTCCTACGGATGGGCTTTGATGGAGGCTGAGAATATGGTACGTCCTATAAATTAAAAACAAAACAAAAACCCCCAAAATGTTAAACATGTAGATGTTTCCCCCATCATGCCAATACCCCTATGTTCCTCTAAGGTCAGGAATGTGCTCTACTGGAAGTCCACTCCCAAGCATATGGGGCTGATTCACTGCTCGGCAAAAGCTGGAGGGACATGGGCATCAGATTCCAGTGGACTTTCTTTCCTGCTGGGTTTTTTTTTTAATGCTTGCAGACTATTACCTCCTTCTTGTCACCTGGAAAAACACAGGAATCAGATTCCAGGGACCCATCCACCCTCCTTTCCTTACTATTGTAAATGCTGTGTCCACCTCAAAACACAGAGCCTTTTCTACTGGAGACAAAATTTGCTCTTGCCTCACTTTGGGCCTTTTTGGAATATGTTCTACCTTTTAAAGTTTATAACAGTCTCAGTCATATGTTCAGCATTTTCCTACCCCCAGTTACTACATGGTGTCTCCTGGAGGGAGACAGTTGGCCTGCTTCCTTGAAGGCACCGGCTTCACCTGTGTTCCTGAGCCAGGGCCCACTCTCTTTCCTGAGAGAAGGGCCTGAGAAAATGGGGAAGGACACGAGGAGTATGAGAAGATGAAGGGACAGCACCATGAATGAGTGATGCTAACCGAGAAAATGACCTGGGACTCAGTAATGTGATTGGGCTGAGGTGAAGAAGCTGAGATGCAGAAGAGACCACAGCACAAAGACAAAGGTGGGGAGACAAATCACACCCCCAAAAGGGGCTCCTAGAGGCTTAGCAGTGTGTGAGGTTCTACTAAAGGCATCTGTCCCTCTGCACTTCACCTCTTGGTCTTGCTAACAGCAAAGCTGCCATATTTAGCTGGGAGGTTGAAGAGGGACGTACAAGCTGCCAGCGACATCAGTGTCCAGCTCAGGAATCATCAGGACCCCATCTTCACAAAGAACCCAGATTCTAGGAAATCTGGGTCATTAACATTCACATCAGGACATGAAAACCTTAAAACAGTAGATGAGCTAACAGAGGCAAGACACCCAAGAGAGGGCTCCCAATGCCACCACAGTGGCACCCTTGTGCTGGCCTTACCTTCTTTGTTGGACTACTCTCTGCAGCTTGGGAGGGGGCTCTGCTCAGTTGGGGGTGTAGCTCGGCCTCGAACCCTTGCTCAGACTGCAGCAAAAGATCAATGAGAAAGATAAAAATGCAAAGCCATAACCACCCAAATATATAATGAGGAGCACTTAGGAAAATAGTCACAATGAGGAAACTGATTTACACCAAGTTGCAGCCAAGCATGGACAGGTCTACTGATCATTGGGAAAACCTTCCATAGACTCTGTTCTTCCCTCCCATCCCTCTTTCAGCATTGCTGAACCTCAGGAAAAGGAGTCATAGGGATGTCTTCTTTAAGTAGACATATATATTGCTAAAAAGTAACACTTCACCAACTCAAACTAAAACTAACAAAGCTTATGGGAAAAATAGGGTTGAGAAAACTAAAATTTTAACCTGAGCACTAATGAAAACAATAAACAGAAAACACTGAAATTTTAAAAATATATTAAATTCCTAATAAAGAAACACTCTAGATTGAGATCCAAGATGGTGGAAGAATAAGTGGGAGCTACACTAAACCTCCTCCCAAGACCAATCTGGAATTACTACTAAGCTGTGGAGAATTCATCCTGAATAACCAAATGAACACTAGCTGGAGAGAAACCTTACAGCCACAGACACACAGATGAAACCACTTCACTACGTGACTGGTAGGGAGTGCAGAGGAGGCGTGAGAGGGCTGGCAGGACTCCCACAGGTGGCAGCTGAAGTTCTGGGCAGTATTTCAGCAGCTGGGGGGTTCCCCCTGAGAAGTGTGGGGTCTGAACCTCAAGATGGGCTTTCCAGCCTACAGTACCACAGCAGGGAAGGAACCCAGATAACATCCACCGGTGAAAAGTAGCAGGGGTTCTCTAGTAGCCAGGGAGAAGCAGCTGGAGATGCAGAGAGACTTTTAAAGGGCCAACAGACAAAATTTTGTTTGCAGCCACTTACCCTGGGCTCTGGCAGAGGGAGAGCAGAGTGTACTAGAGATGCTTAAGGAGACTCTGGGGTTGGGGGATCTGAGGAGAGAACTGAAGGAACAAACAGCTTCCAGGATCCCTGTGCTGAGTAATTCCCCAAACTGCAGGAGCCATTACTCTCAACAGAGCACTCCTCTCTGAATGGCATCAGCCTTAGGGGAAGTAATAGCCCCACCCTGTGATGCTTAAGCCAGGCTGCTGATTACAGCTTGATCAATTTAACAGCTGATCAGTTTAACACCTGATTAGATTAACAACTAAGGGGAAAAATACAAAGAAGCAGTGGAAATGGGAAGACTAAGAAACAGAACCCAAATGAAAGGATAAGAAAGTTCTCCAGAAGAACTAGATGAAATGGAGGCAAGCTATTTATCAAATAGAGTTTAGAGTAATGATTATAAGGATACTCAACAGCATGAGAAGACGACAAAGAAACCTTAAAAAAGGACCACTCACAAATAAAGAATGCAATATCTGAAATAAATGATAAATGGAAGGAATAAACAGTATGTTAAATGAAACAGGGGATCAAATCAGTGATTTAGATGGCAAGGTAGAAAAAAAACACCCAGGCAGAGCACCAAAAAGAAAAAAGAATTTTTAAAAAATGAGGAAAGCTTAAGAGATAGTTTGGACAAAATTAAGTGTAACAACATCCACATCATGGGAATAGCAGAAGGAGAAGAGAGGGAGCAAGGGATCAAGAACCTATTAGAAGAAATAATGATCGAACATTTCTGAAATCTGGTGCAAGAAAAAGACACACAAATCCAGGAAGTTCAGAGTCCCCAAAAAGTTGGACCCAAAGAGTCCTGTACCAAGACGCATCATAATCAAAATGACAAGGCTTAAAGACAAGGAGAGAATCCTAAAAACCACTAGACAAAAGCAGATAATTACCTACAAGGGAGAACCAATTAGATTGTCATCTGATCTCTCAACAGAAACATTTCAGGTCAGAAGGGAGTGGCTTAAAATATTCCAGGTGATGAAAAGCGAGGCCCTACAACCAATGCTACTTTACCCACAAGGCTATCATTTAAAATCAAAAGAGAAATAAGGCAAGAAAAAGATATAGGAGTGTTAACCCCAAACAAGTACTGCAACAAATGTTAAAGGGGGAAGGAGGGAGAGGAGGAGAAGAAAAAGAGAAAGAAAAAAAAACAGAGAAAAATAATCTAAAATTAAAAAGCATTAAATATGTACCTATCAATATCACCCTAAATAAATGTACATGATTTATTACTCCAACCAAGACATAGGGTAGCTGAATGAATAGGAAAACAAGACCCATATATATGCTGCCTTCAAGAGACCCACCGCAGTTTGAAAGATACACACAGACTCAAAGCAAAGGGATAGGAAAAGATATTTCATGCAAATGGAGGAAACGAAAAGCTGGGGTAGCAGTACTTATATTTGACAAAACAGACTGTAAAACCAAGGCTATAATAAGACACAAAGAAGAACACTACGTAATGATAAAGGGAATAATCCAACAAGAGGATATTAACTGTAGTAAATATTTATGCACCCAATATAGGAGCACCTAAATATGTGAAGCAAATCTTGATGGACATAAAAGTATTAGGTTGCAGCCAGGAATGAGTGGCCAGAGGGGAAATAAAGCAGGGCCCTTGCCAATACAATCTAACAAAGCACTTAACACAGGAGGCTAGAAGCAAAGGGGAAACATGTCTCACCAGTTAACTCAGCAGTCCTGAGCTCAGTTTGATAAGATTGTCAGGTGTACAGACCATTACAAGCAAAAGGGCATGTGAGGACAGGAGAGTCGTTGAGACTTTGCTAAGAAAAGGGGCTACTGTAACAATCTTACTGAGTATCACAAGCGGGAATTGCACAGGAGAAAGAGGGGAGCCTATGCTTGGAAAGGGGGCCTCTGTAACAATTTCACTAAGACAAAGAGCCTTTACTAACTGAGAAAGAAAGCCTTCGTAGCTGTACATTATTCCCAATGGAAAGAAGGAGTGGAAGCTAGAAGCCAGCTCCGGTATATAACCCCTGAACCTCAATAATTGATGTACTTAGATTAACTAAGTACCCACTTGTAGTGTCAACTCAGGTGTATACAACAAACTCACTAACTTACTAACAAACTTATGACTTCATTTTCACTATATGTGGAGCATTTAGGCTAGATGGGTACCTGCCTGCAGCTTTGTGCTCATATGTGTTACATAAATAAACTTGCTATCTCATTTCCCTATATGTCTCTCATTTGAATTCATCTCTTCTGGTAAGACAAAAGAATGAGGCGGGGAAGGGAGGCCTCCTGACTCAGTTCTCTCTCCCCCAACGGTAACAAAGAGAGAAACTGACTAAAATACAATCATAGTCGGGGATGTTAATACCCTTTTGACTTCAAAGGATAGATCTTCCAGACAGAAAATCAACAAGGAGACAGCAGCTTTAAATGACACACTAGATCACATGGATTTAATTGCTATCTTCAGAGCATTTCATCCCAAAGCAGCAGAATATACATACTTTTCAAGTGCACAAGGAACGTTTTCTAGGATAGACCACAAGCTAGGACACAAAACAAATCTCAATATATTTAAGATTGAAATCATATCAAACATCTTCTCTGACCACAATGCTATGAAACTAGAAATCAATCACAAGAAGAACACTGAAAAAAATGCAAAGACATGGAAGCTAAATAACATGTTATTAAACAATGAATGGATCAACAAAGAGATCAAGGATGAAATCAAAAGATACCTTGAAACAAATGGAAATGAGAACACAACAATCCAAAATCTGTAGGACACAGGGAAAGCAGTTCTAAGAGGGAAATTCATAGATTAGTGGTCTATCTCAGAAAACAAGAAAAAGCTCAAGTAAACAATCTAACTTCACACTTAAAGGAACTTAAGAATAACAAACAAAGCCCAAACTGAGTAGAAGGAAGGAAATAATAAACATCAGAGCAGAAATAAATGAAATAGAGTTTTAAAAATGATAAAAAAAAAAAAACATCAATGAATCCAAGAGCTGGTTCTTAGAAAAGATAAACAAGATTGAGAAACCTTTAACTAGACTCATCAAAGAAACAAAGAGAGAGGACCCAAATAAAGTCAAAAATGAAAGAGGAGGAATAACAACTGACACCAAAGAAATACAAAGAAATGTAAGAAAATATTATGAACATCTATACGCCAACAAACTGAACAACCTAGACAAAATGGATAAATTCCTAGAAAGATACAGTCTTCCAAAACTAAAGCAAGAAGAATCAGAGAATCTGAATAGACCGATTACATCTAATGAAATGGAAGCAGTAATCAAAAAAATCTCCAACAAACAAAATCCCTGGACTGCATGGCTTCATAGGTGAATTTTATCAAACATTCTGAGAACTAACACCTCTCCTCAAACTATTTCATAAAATTCATGAGGGAAGGCTCCCAAATACATTGTATGCATTGTAAACACACTACAAAAAAAGAAAATTATAGGCCAATATCCCTGATGAACATGGACGCTAAAATCCTCAACAAACCGTATACAGCAATGTATCAAAAAGATCATACACCATGATCAAGTGGGAATTTTTCTGGGAATGCAAGGTTGGTGCCACATTTGTAAATCGATAAATGTGATACACCACATAAACAAAATGAAGGATAAAAACTACATGATCATATCAATAGATGTGGAACAAGCATTTGATAAAATCCAGCACCCATTTATGATAAAAACTCTCCTCAATATGGGAATAGAGGGAACATACCTAAACATGATAAAGGCCATATATGACAAACCCACTGCCAGCATCATACTCAAGGGGCAAAAACTACAAGCATTCCCCTTAAGATTGGAAACAAGACAGAAAGGCCTGCTTTAACCTCTCTTATTCCATATAGTACTGGAAATCCTAGCTACAGCAATCAGACAAGAAGAAGAAATACAAGACATCCAAATTAGAAAGGAAGAAGTAAAACTGCCATTATTTGCAGCTGACATGATATTGTACATACAGAATCCCAAAGATTCTCTTAGAACCAAGAAATTAGATCCACCAAGAAACTATTAGAACTGATAAATGAATTCAGCAAAGTAGCAGGA